TCTTCTTCTTCTTCTTCTTCTTCTTCTTCTTCTTCTTCTTCTTCTTCAGGATTTGGTCCTATTGAGCTAGGTGCAGTACAAGCATTGGTAAGCATTTATTACTATTAGTGTGGGATTAGGGCCCTGGGAGTAATTTAAAATAGACGGTGACAGAGTGCTAGCAGCCTAGAGCTGACCCAGCGTTCTGGTCACTAAGGTACTAACTATTCCTACCCCCTGGAGTGGATTTAAGGTTGGGGAGGATGCGTGCTTAATGGCTTAATTAGGCAGGAAGCTGATAAGCTAATAGGTATGTTCACACTGGGATAAAAGATCGACAGCATGGCTGCAGCTGGCCCCTGGCGAGATGACTTGGGCTCGAGGATTTTGGGCTGCAGGGCTATAAAATTGCAGTGTAGGCACTGGGGCTCGGGCTGGAACCCTGACTCTGAAACCATGAGGGCGTGGCTCTGAGAGCCCAGGCTCCAACCCAAGCCCCAGTGCCTACACTGCAATTTTTAGCTTTGGCTCTGAGACTCTCTGCCATGGGTGTTGGGGGTTTTTTGTTTTTTTTTTTCTAATCGCAGTGTAGACATACCCAATGACAGCAATCAGCCCGTCAGCTGGGAACAGTTAAAGGAGAGGGAAGAAAGTGCAAGGGAGGAAGGCTGGAAGGGGGCCATAGGAGACAGGATATCGAGAAGAGGAGATCTTTCCCTCTCCCTCCCCAGAGAGTGGGCAAAGGGGGAAGTTTATTTCTAATTGTATGTCCCTGCCTGAGGTTGTACTGGTGAACTGGTGGAGAGGACTCCATAAATAACACAGTGGTGCTTACAAATGTGGAAGTGCCCAGGTGATTTCAGGTGGTCCAAAGGGCAAAGACTGCCATGTCACATAGACCTATATAAAATATCAACTCATTCATGCAGGTGACTTTATGAAAATATTGTCCCCTTATCTTATCTTCTCTACTGTGGATACTCATCACAAATCAGTGCTTGGCCTGCTGTAATACACATTGCCAACAGTCCCTAAGGGCCTGTGGGAATCACTGTGGGACACTCTATTGCCACTTTATACGTTTGAATATAGCTGGGTGAAATTTTTCAGCTGAAACTTTTTTTTGAGAAAAAAGTGCAGGTTCAGGTTGATAAAACTTTAATTGATTCATGTTGTTTCAGCAAATTATTTTGGTTTAAAAAAAAAATCCAAACCAAACAACCCCTAAAAAAAATGTCTGAAAAAGTCAAAACATTTCATTTTGACATTTTCTAAATTAAATGTTTTGATTTTTCCTGTTGTTTAGAAATATCCTTTCTTTTTTTTTAAGTTTTAAAATGCCTGAAATCAAAATCAAATGTTTAATTTCAGGTTGAATTAAATGTTTTGTTTGTCCTGAAACCTGAAATGAATTTCTTTTCCCGACTTTTCAATTTGCCAAAAATTCTGGAAATTTTTGATTTTGGGTTGATTGAAAACAATTTTTCCCCACAATTTTTTTACAACTGTCAGCAAACCAAAAATCCATGATTAGCACAGCTCTAATTTGAATGTCTGACTAGGGGCATGTCCTGCCCATTCTGCTTCTGAAATGCAAATAACACTCCCAACGTACTGTTGGTGTTCTGTTGCCTTCCTCTGAGCCAGGCATCCACATAAAATTTTGCCATTGACGAGAGAGCAGGACTGTGTGTGAATGATTTGGGGGGACAATATCCACACGGGCCTGTTGGGGCACAGCTAAGTCTGAAAGGGCTCTGATTAAATGGGTAATGAGACTTTGAAGAAGACCTGTGGATTTTCAAATACAGTTGTCATGATTGCTGTGCTGCTGAGTTCTTCCTATGGCGCCCCCAGAGGCTACCCTGTTGAACCACATTTGATTCGTTCTTTTTCCTCTCACTCTCCTTCAGGTTTCAGAGTTGCAGCCGTGTTAGTCTGTATTCGCAAAAAGAACAGGAGTACTTGTGGCACCTTAGAGACTAACAAATTTATTTGAGCATAAGCTCAAATTTGTTAGTCTCTAAGGTGCCACAAGTACTCCTCTCCTTCAAGTGAAACCTGGTAACTTCATACCCTC